CCAATATTATAGGTTTAAGTGATATCCTATGTCAGAGGCGATCTTCCAGATGGGCCTTTACAGGCCTCAGCCATGTAGCTATAGATGTTGGCTCCCAACAGAAATATAAGATGAGACAGTAGTATGATTACTATAAGGGGAAGCTGATGACCTGGATTTTACTCTCAGCTACTTACTCTTGGGCAAGCCAAGTTCCCTTCCTCAACCGTAAAATTGAAATAAAACTTTCTTACTCTCTCTTATGCCAGGCTCTTCTGCACCAGTACTACATCTTATAAAAGTTCCTGTGACGTGATCGAGTCTGGATTTAGCACCAGGCCCACTGCAGAAGAGGGTAGTGATTAAGAAAATAAACTCTGGAGTCATGCTGCCTTGAATACAAAATCAGGCTTTCTTAGTTGTGTAACTTTGGACATCTCTCTAAGTCTCAGTTTTTTTCTAGTAAATGAGGATAATAGCACCTAACACACAGCATTGAGATTTAAATGAGATAATATAGAAACCAAGCTCAGCACAGTGAATGATGTATAAGTGCTTAATAAATATGAAAAAGTTTGGCGATGAGTCCTGATAAATTATCTATAGGCTATGTTTATGCATAATAAACATAGTGTTCTTTTAATCTGTCACAATATTTTCTTTAAGAAAACTAAATAAGAAGGATAATTAAAAAGAGACCTGGATGCTATAATTCACAACATTCTCTTGGTGTCCTTTGATGAGTTCTCATAGGTGTGAAAATGGAGAGGCTTCCAAATGTCAAAGCACATAACAGTGGGAGTAAAGTTTTATGCTTCCCTAGGAACTGAGGGTGTGTCAGATCCTAGAGAAACAACCTGCCTCATCTTTTATATATGTTTGGTTTCAACAGTGTGCACAGCATCTGCAGAAAACCTCCTTGGTCACCTCCAGCCATCACATTACAAAACTGTACAGTGTGTCAACTGCTGTAGCTCAGAGCTGGCAGGGCATTCTCAGTTCTGTTACAGCACTGTGGGGTAACAGACTAGCAGCCAGAATATCATAGCTGGAAGGTTGTGTGGTTATTGTTCACTTCTTCCCCTACATCCATTCTCCGCTCTTGTCTGTCCTATTCTATGCCACCCACACCCAGGATATTGAAAGTTGTTGATTCTATCTCCTGGCTTTGCCCCCTTGTTTCTGTTTGAGTTCAGCTGGAAGTGGGAGAAGAGGAAGATAACAAGCAGAAAACAAGAAGGCAGGAGTTAAGAGCGGTTAGGGTATTTATCCTGCTCACTCCCAGCTGATCTGCCACCCTCATATGTTCCTTTAAGGCTGTAGCTCTTGCCAGGTTCCAGTGACACTGCTCCTTTTCTTTGCCATTGCAGAGTTGAGATGATAATTAACAGCTTCTTCCCTTATGGGTTCCCTCAACTTTGCCCACAATCTGTACGTAATCCATTCATTCAACTCTTTTCTATTCAACCTTTAAGTGTGGTTTATTTCCAGCTAAATTTAATCTTAGCAGTGTTTACGCATCCTGCACTGGGCCAATGTATCTCCTCTGCATTTACTGCAGTGGCTCTCATGGTGTAGACGATAATAGTTGTTATTTTTTGTAAGTACTACTACTTGTTGTGTTGGACTTTGTTCCTAACAGTAAATAATATTTCTATGTCTCTCAAATAATTCCTTTAATGTATTACTTAAATACTTGTCCTTCTTCCCATTTGTTCTAGTGAGTTGGAGTGGAGGGAGATTATACTATTTTTAGCAACTGGAAAGGTGTGATTGCCTGTGACAACTGCTGATGGAAATGCATGAAAACCAGTGGTAGATAGGAGCCATAACTCTGAATTATTTATTGATGGATATGTTGATTCTTCTCAGTGAAATACCTAATACCACAAACTAATAATAAAATCACTTCCCTTTCTCTATCCCCAAGCCTGCTACTGACTGAGGTAAAAAATGCATTTGATATCATGTTGAGTTACCTTGTACCACACAACATCAGGCTCCTGATCAGACTTCTTAAAATCATCCATGTCTGGGCAGGAGATCTCCTTTCTTTTAGTGACTTCAGATTTTTCTAAATAGCGAATCCTGCTGTTGTAGCACAGGCCTGATTCATTCTCTGCAACAGTCAAGGACATTGACACCTTCATGCAATATGTCGAGTTTCTGTAGAAACAGAGAAATAACAAAATGGCTTTATTGGGTGTTTACAACTTTGTTTGTACTCTCTATATTTCAAGTGTATTGACTTTTCCATTTAGGACCTTGCCTAGAAATCAGAAACAACATCAAAATAACACAGAGCAGTTTTCTACTTCAACTGACAGGAAAATATAAAACAAAATGCTAATGTGGACATCTCTGACCATGAGGTAGCTACAGAGCTACATAGAGAAGCTGTACCCATCTTCCAAACTATAAGAAACTCAGTTTTAGCCGGGCTCGGTGGCTCAGCCTGTAATCCTGCGCCTTTGGGAGGCTGGATTGCCTGAGCCCGCGGGTTCAAGACCCGCCTGGGCAGCGAGACCTCATCTCTACAATAAATAATAAAAAAAAAAATCAGCCGGGCGTGGTAGCACATGCCTGTAATTCCAGCTACTTGGAAGGCTGAGGCGGAAGGATCGCCAGAGCCCAGCAGGTCGAGGCTACGGTGGCTGGGAGCGGCCACTGCACTCCAGTCTGGGCGACAGAGTGAGACTCCAACTCAAAAAAAAAAAAAAAAGAAAGAAAGAAAGTCAGTTTTTTTTTCCAGCAGGAAATATTGCTGCATTGAAACTTTCTTCGTGAAAACCTGTCAGAACGTCTTTCTAAAACTAGAATTGTAGCCATTTTTGCTCTGCCCCTGTGGCTGGTCCTTTAACCATTATTCCAGAGGTTGTTGAATTTTACCTTTGCTTCTTAAGCCAACATTTCCTTATACAGAATATATACTAAACACCAAATAACATACAGAGGATTCCTGTTAACTTACAGGTTAACTAACCTGTTAACTTAGTTTTTTGTTTGTTTGTTTTGAGTCAGAGTCTCACTCTGTCATGCAGGCTAGAGTACAGTGGCATGCTCACAACCACTGCAGCCTCATCCTGCTAAGCTCAGTTGATCCTTCTGCCTCAGCCTTCCTTGTAGCTGAAACTACAGGTGTGCACCACCACACCTGGCTAATTTTTCTTGAATTATTGTAGAGAAGAGGTCTCAATCAAATTGCCCAGGCTGGTTTCGAACCCCTGGGCTCAGGCAATCCTCTCGCTTCAGCTTCCCAAAATGCTGGGGTGACAGACTTGAGCCACCACCCCCGGCCCTTACTCACCTTTTTTTTTTAATCAATATTTTTTATTATGATATTGTGGGGGTACAGTTAAGAGTTAGGTATACAAATATGCTTCATTCAGGCCCCTTTGTTGATAACAGGTGTCTCCCCGTCCCCAGACAGATGTTTACTACCATTAGTCCCACCCCCCCCCATTGTTTCCCACCACTGTCAGTCATTTTCTTATGGTAGTGCGTTGGATAATCAAGGTCCACTATATGAGTGAGAACATGTGATACTCAGATCTTAGTTTCTGTGAGAGGTCACTCAGTATTATAGACTCTAGTTCCATCCAGGTTGCTGCAAAATTCATGGTTTTGTTCTTTTTTATGGCTGCATAATATTCCATCGTGTATATGTACCACATTTTTAAATCCAGTCCTCTTTTGATGGACAGCATGGTTGGTTCCAAGTTCCTGCTATTGTGAACAATGCTACAATAAACATTCGTGTGCAGGTATTTTTTTTATAGAATGATTTGAGTTCTTCACGGTATATTCCCAATACAGGGATTGCACGGTCATATGGGAGGTTGATGTTTAGAGCTTTTAGGAATCGCCACACTGCTTTCCACAGAGGTTGCACTAGTTTACACTCCCACCAACAGTGTAGAAGTGTTCCCTTTTTGCCACACCCTCTCCAACAACTGTTATTTTTTGAATTATTGATAATTGCCATTCTGACTGGAGTTAGGTGGTATCTCAGTGTGGTTTTTATTTGCATCTCCCTGATGATTAGTGAGGTTGAGCATTTCTTCATGTGTCTGTTGGCTGCTCAGATGTCTTCCTTTGTGAAGTGTCTGTTCATATCTTTTGCCCACTTTATAATAGGGTTGTTTGTTTTTTTTCTTTTCAGCACGTTTGAGTTCGTTGTAGATCCAAGATGTTAAGCCTTTTTCAGACCTGGAGCTGGCAAATACTTTTTCCCAGTCTATGGGCTGTCTCCCTGCTCTCTTGATGGTTTCTTTGGCTTTGCAGAAGCTTGTCAGTTTAATGAGGTTCCACTTGTCTATCTTATCCCTTATGGCCTGTGGGTTTTGGGTTTTGTTCAGGAATTGGATGCCAGTTCCAATTTCCATGAGGGTATGTCCTTCATTTTCTAAGGTTCTTATGGTTTGAGGTTTTACATTTAGGTGCCTGATCCATTTGGAGTTAATTTTTGTGTATGGGGATAGATAGGGGTCCTGTTTCAATCTTCTGTATGTGGTCAGCCAGTTTTCCCAGCACCATTTACTGAACAGGTTCTCCTCTCCCCAGTGGTAGGTGTGGAGGCTTTGTCAAAGATTAGTTGATGGAGAAATTGAGGTTTTGCTTCTGGAATCTCAATCCTATTCCATTGATCTATATACCTGTTCCTATACCAATACCAAGCTGTTTTGATGATTGTAGCTTTATAGTAAAGTTTGAAGTCTGGTAATGTGATACCACCTGCTTTGTTTTTTTTGCTGAGGATTGTTCTGGCTATTCTTGGTCATTTCTGTTTCCAAATGAATTCCTGTGTTGTTTTTTCTAGGTCTGAGAAGAATGTTGCTGATAATTTGATAGGTATTGCATTGAATCTGTAGATTGCCTTAGGTAAGATGGACATCTTCACAATGTTGATTCTTCCAATCCATGAGCATGGGATATTTTTCCACTTGTTTGTGTCATCTTTGATTTCTTTGAGCAGAGTTTTGTAGTTTTCAGTGGAAAAGTCTTTCATGTCTCTGGTTAGGAAGATGCCAAGTTATTTCATTTTTTTGTGGCTATTGTGAATGGAATTGTGCTTTTTATTTGGGTTTCTGTTTGTTTATTATTGGTGTAAAGAAATGCGATTGTCTTTTGCACATTTATTTTATATCCTGAGACTTTGCCGAAGGTCTTTGTCAGTGTAAGGAGGATTTTGACAGATTTTCTTGGGTTTTCAAGGTACACAATAATGTCATCTGCAAAGAGAGATCATTTGACTTCCTATTTTCCTATTTGGATACTCCTGATTGCCTTCTCTTCTCTGATTGCTCTAGACTTCCAATAGTATATTGAACAGGAGGGGTGAGAGTGAGCATCCTTGTCTTGTTCCAGTTTTCAGGGAAAATGGTTCAAATTTTTGTCCATTTAGGAGTATGCTGGCTGTGGGTTTCTTGTAGATGGCTTTCACTACTTTGAGGTATGTTCCCCATATGCCTAGATGTTCAAGGGTTTTTATCGAGAAGGGGTGCTGGATTTTATCAAAAGCTTTTTCTGCATCTAATGATATAATCATGTGGTTTTTGTTTTGACATCTATTGATGTATTTAATTACATTTATGGTTTTACGAATGTTGAACCAGCCTTGCATCACAGGGATGAAGCCTACTTGGTCATGATGGATGATTTTTGAGATGTGTTGTTGAATCCGGTTTGCTAGAATCTTGTTGAAAATTTTAGCATCTATGTTCATCAAAGATATTGGCCTGTAGTTCTCTTTCTTTGTTGGATCTTTACCTGGCTTGGGTATCAATGTGATGTTAGCTTCATAAAATGATTTGGGAAGGGTTCCATCTTTCTCAATCGCCTGAAATACCTTCAGTAGGATTGGAATGAGCTCCCCCTTAAATGTCTTGTAGAATTCTGCTGGAAAGCCATCTGGTCCAGGGTTTTTGTTTTGTAGGTAGTTTTCTTATTACATAGTCAATTTCCTTGATTGTTATTGGTCTATTTAGGGTCTCAATTTCTTCTTATTTTAACCTGGGCAGGTTGTGTGATAACAGAAAGTCCTCCATTTCCTTGAGGTTTTCAAGTTTGTTTCCATACAAGTGTACATAGTAGTCTCTAATGATCTTTTGTATTTCTTCAGGGTCAGATGTGACTTCATCTTTTGTGTTTCTGATTGTGCTTATTTGGTTTTTTTTTTCTTTTTCTTGGTCAGTCTAGCTAGGGGACCATCGATCTTGTTTATCCTTCCGAAGAACCAGCTTTTTGTTTCATTGATTTTTTTGTATTGTCTTTTCATCTTCTATGTCCTGGATTTGGGCTTTTATTTTGGTGATCTGGATTCTTCTGCTGAAATTAGGGTTTTTGTGGTCTTGCTTTTCCAGCTTCCTTAGGTGACTTGTTAGGCTATTAATTTGTGCTCCTTCCATTTTCTTCATGTGTGTTTGTAGGGATATAAATTCCCCTCTTACTACAGCTTTTAAGGTGTCCCAGAGATTTTGGTAAAATGTTTCTTCATTTCATTTGTTTCCAGGTACCTTTTGATCTTTGTTTTGATTTCATCATTGACCCAGGAGTTGTTTAGCATCATGCTGTTTAGTGTCCATGTCTTTGTGGGTTTTGGGGGGACTTTGTTGGTGTCAATGTTTATTGTTATTCCACTGTGGTCCGAGAAGGTGCATGGTAGAATTTCGGTCCTTTTAAATCTGCTTATGCTTGATTTATGGCCAATTATGTGGTCGATCTTAGAATACATTCCATGCAGTGATGAGTAGAATGTGTATTCTGTAATCTTTGGATGGAGTATTCTGTAGTTATCAATTAAGTCCATTTGGTCCAGAGTCATATTGAGGTTTCGGATCTCCTTGCTGATTTTTTGTCCTGATGATCTCTCTAGGGTTGTGAGTGGGGTATTAAAGTCCCCAGTTATGATGGTGTTAGAGTCAATATCTTTCTTTAGTTTTCCTAGAAGTTGCTTTATGAAAGTTGGTGCACCTATGTTGGGTGCATATATGTTTAGGATAGATATTCCTTGTTGATGAAGTGAACCTTTTATCATTATGTAGTGGCCCTCTGTATCTTTTTTAATTTTTCATAGTTTAAATGGTACTTTGTCTGAAATTAGAATCACGACTCCTCCTTTCTTTTGTGTTCCATTTGCCTGAAAATTTGTTTCCCATCCTCTTACT